TCCAGAGAGCAGGAAGGGCGGCGAGCGCACCCATCTGACTTTGCGGGGCCACTGAGCTCCCAGTGGCGGCGGCTGCTGCTTGCCCCACAGTGGCCGAGGTGCGTACCGGGGGTGGGAGGGCACCTGGTCACCGGCGGGCCCCAGAGGCCTGGGAAGAAGGAAAGTGTGGTTCGGCATTTGTTTGCTGTGACGCTGATGCGGGAGCAGCCACGCTGTCAGAGCCCGGGGGATGGGGGGGTGGGCGTTGGGACAGCTTCAGCCCGTCTGACGTGGCCGCTCTGCTAAGCTAACATTTGTCTGGCAGAAGTGGCGTTCCCAGCCTGTTTCAACACAGCGTTGAGGAACACGTGGTAGCTCTCAGCCCTGGGCCCCACTGCCCTTGATCCACATCGTCCTGTGGGCCCCGTGCTCTGCCGTGGCTTTGTCCCAGCAAACCACTCCGCAGGGAGATACCATGGTTCCCCTCTTGAAACCGAGGAATGTGGGGGTGAGAACGCTGATTCCCCCCTGCTCAGGCCTGGCCCCTTGTCGCTCTCAAAGAGCCCAGGAGTTGGGGCCCAGACTTGCCCGCCGGTGTCCTGAGGAGTCCAGTGTGTGGCCCTGGTGGGCTCTAACCTGGAGAGACCATAAGCTGCAGACACCAAGCCACCCTGGTCGAGCGCGAGACCTCTGGGCCCTGGGGCAGGGCTCTTAAAGGGGTGGCATGGCGTGGACTCGGGCAGTGTGACTTTAAGGAAAGCTAGGATCAGCTAGTTGACTCGTAAGGACCTCGGGCTTTCTTCCTGTCCCCTGCGCCCTCTTGCCAAGCTCCTGAGTGGAGACCTCAGGTTCTCAGGGTCTGTAGCCTGGTGTGACAGAGCGAGTCCCAGGCCCACGGCTGAGCCGTCCAGCCTCTGGGTCGTGGAGACCAGGGCTCTGAGTCACAGACCCTCCGCTTCGAGGCCCGCCTGCTACCAAGAGGCTGTGTGGCCTTGGTCAGCTTCCTTGACCTCCCTGTGCATCAGGTTCTCGTCAACCTGGGGTTCAAGCAGGGTTGGGGTTCAAGCGGAGTGAGCACGTGGACAATTTGGGGCTGAAAGGGGGCGCTGCTGATCACATGCTGGGGCAACAACCATGAACTGGAGCTTTCTGGGGCAAACTGGGATGTAGGGTCACTGTCTGCAGAACGCTCGGGGACCTGTGCCTGGGAGGTGTGCTGCCAGGACTGCCGTCGTTACTCGCAGGCTTCCTCCCCTTTGCCCGTGGAGTCGGCTCTTCTCTCCTCTTGGCCGATAGAAAGGTACCACCTCCCCGGAGCCCCCCGAGGCGGCCTAGAATCAGCCTCTTTCCCGGGGGCAAAGTCGTAGCTCCCCACGCAAAGTTCCAGGATGGAGTTATCAGCACATGACACAGAGCAGACCGGGTACCGGGCTGCATTCCTGGCGAGGAGATGGGCAGAGGCCAGGCCAGAGAACCCTCCGTCCTTTCCGTGGTTCTGACGGTCAGCCTCTCCCGTTGGCCCGTGCCGTCCGAAGGGACCGCCGCTCAGCGCTTGCCGGGGCTGGTCTGAACCCAGATGGGTGCCGAGGCTGAAGTGCCGGTATCTTCAACTTTCGATGATGTGTTGTAGTTATAACCCTTTGGACATACTGACTTAAATAAAATACATTCTTAAGATTTCTTTCATCGGTTTGCTTTTTTAAATTTCAGCTACTAGGAAGTTTAAAACATTCCACAGTAGGTGACACATTTCCACCGGACAGCGCGGGTCTCGATGGTGAGAGCGTCGCGGGAGGAGGGGTCAGGGGCCCCACACAGCATCCCAGCCCGGGGCTCGTAGCCGCCTCAGCTGTGGAGCCGGCACTCTCCCGACCGCCCACCAGCCCTCGAGCTGCAGTCTCGGGGGCCCTACACCTCTCACCTCTGCCCTTCACCCCCTGAGCGTAAAGTCACTGCATGGAGTGAGGTTGGTGGATGTTCGTGGGGCGGGCCTGCTCCATGCCGGGCACTCCGCTCAGCCCCTGCCACCTAGATGCTGTGTGCCCTTCGTCAGCTTCCTTAACCTCAGGAAGCACCCTCAGTCCTGGGTGCAGAGGCTGGGGGCGTGGGCGGGGGGCCTGCCGGGCTCGGCCTGGAGAGAGGAAAGGGCAGCCTCCGCGAGAGAGGGCTGGCTGAGTGGGCCAGGCAAAAGCATGTTAGGGCCTCAGAGGTGGTGCGAGCTGGCAGGGAGGGCTTTCCGGAGGAGGCCATAAGGCCTGAGGACCAGATGGTTGGAGAGGCGGGGCTGGCAGTCAGGTCCTCTGGGAGAAAGCAGGTCTGGAGGCAGGGATGGCTGTGCGTCCATGTTCTGTGCATCGGGGCCCTGTCAGGGTGCGGGCACCTGCGGTGGGCATCTCAGCCAAGTGTCAGGGGGAGGGGCACCTCCATGAAGGTGCAGACGGGGCTGTGAGGCCAGCACCGTGAGAGCCGTCCCAGGCCCCCGGGGGCCTTGCGGGAGCACAGCATATCCAGCCTTGCGCTTACGCGGCCAAGCTCGACAGACATCACCACCGGCCACGTCGTCATCATCGTGAGCACAGCACCATCCCTCACGTCCACCATCTGGAA